TAAAAATATTGCAACGTCGAGCTCAAAATAGGACAACCAATAGACTCATAATCATAGTGAGCAACGGAAAACGTTAACAATAAACCCATTGTCTTCAAACAAAGTGAGAATAATTATATCGTTATGATAATGCACTGCTGATATTATTAGAACAGCATAAATACTCATAATACAATTCTACACGATTAGAAATTGGTTAAAAACTATATAATCATTATCACCATCCGATCAGTTCTCTGTCTGCCTGGCAGAAACATATGCAATAAGATAAACACATACAGTTGTTTCTATATATAATCTCTATTTACTACCGCACTTCTATTATCGTCAATTGCTATGAGAAGAACCTTTTGTCATCAGGTAGTGATAATTTATTTAACATAATATACTTCTGTTTGATTATGCTACTAACTATTGCTTTTGATTGAATCGCCTCCAAGGAGGACAGGATGGTTCTCAACGGGCACCCGCCTAATTATGGTAAAGCCTCACGTTACTTAGGCAACCGAACTGCAAAGCAGTGTCGTGACAGGTATTTTACGTTAATTTATATTGTATTGGTTTAGTTTCGGATAACCAATTAAATTTTTTCGTCAACTGATTTGGTATAACAATAACACAACACTTAAAAATATAATAAGATATCGCACCGCTCTGCATCCAACAGGCAAATATAATTCTCTATCTTATAAATTTGCTGAATTTTTTTGATTATCCTTCTTGTTATTAATAACCGTACACACGTACTAAATTCTCCAAAATAGTGCAAACCATGCCTCTCAACAATAGGGAGGGTAACATGGTAGCTATGTTGCATCGTATCCATGGGTCAAGGTGGGCCCGAATTGCCGACAAACTTCCTAATCGTACTCCACAAATGGTGGCGGCCTGGTACTCGGAAAGATTGGAAGAAATCGCTCGCATTCGGTGGAAAATGTCAATACAAAGACTCACACATTAAAGTGTCTTTTAATCAAGCTCTTTACACAATTGCGTAAAATATTCATTTTTGTAACAGGGCTTGCCAATAAGTTTAAGACAATTATTATGCTTACAAATAAATAAATTGTCAGTTCCGTGATTTAAAGCCACATAAGCCATGCGGATTATTAGGGATATGGACAGGCCTATCAGGTGTTGCTAATTATTAATGAGATAAGCTGTCATTTAGTCTGCGAGCATCAAGAACTTACTCGAAGTCATTAGAAATCAATAAATAAATAAATAAATAAATAAAAATGGCACGTGTTTCTAGTTTTAAACTTGAAGTGGATAATGACAAGTATGCAAGTCGGTTTCTGATTAATTAATGATGATGCCTCATGAAATCGTGTAGTGATACAAAGTAATCAATGTAAATACTTGACATCTGACGGAGCTACCTGACCTAATAACGTCAAGTAATGCAGAATTATTTATGGAATTAATTAACACATTAGTAATTAAAAAGTTGTGTAGATAGTTAGTTGTTAATTATTACAAATACGCCACTTCTACTTATACGCTGCAAGCGTTTTTAATGTTCTGATTATAATATCCTAGTTAAAGATGAACAACAGTGAATGATTAAATGGCAGTATTTCATTAGTTTCAATCGACATATCGTCTGTTTCTTTCAAGCCTTCTGCCAAGCATCGAGACGGTGTCGGCAGTTACCTTATTCCATGCTTCTGTAGTTCAACGGATTGCATAAAATACTACATATATTCAAGGTAAGATCGTTGTGACCGTAGTTTGATATTTATCAAAGACATGAATTATATTTTTCTAGAGTAAATTTTCTGTAGTGACGCCTTAAAGTCAATAAATGAATGAACCAATTCGTATTGCACGCAACAGAAAGAACAAACACCGTAGATGGAAATTATTCCCTGATCAACCGACTGTAAGTGAGCAGTCGTGTTTGTGAAGAAAATAATTGATATTACTTTCTCATATCTGGTTCTTTATAATGAATCCTGAAATAGAGAGATCGTTGAATTATTTGACTAGCTTATTATACCGAGACAATCACGTGAATTTATATGATTGGTGCGTTTGAAATTAACTCGCCGAATCATAGCCATCGCAAGGAACTTTTATTCACAACGAGGTGCTCGCTTAAGCTATTTACTTTACATGTAAAGGAAGAGAATAAAAGCCCATGTGTATGGCTGAAGGGGGTGTGTGTACCTGTTTATGGCTATTTTAATGAGGGACTGTAATTCATTAGGCGTGACCCAGGGAGTCTAAGCTACAGAGGAATAAGAGACGTCCAAAGAGTAGGGTTGTGTCCGAAGGCCCTTGTTGTGAAGGCATTCCAAAGCGTGGAGATGGCTGCAGATTGTAGGGAACGTAGAAGCCGGTGTTGTGGTGGGGTAAGAGAGGGGGTATGTGCTGTGCCACTTGCATAGATCATATGGGATACATCCCATATTCTCGCCGAATCATAGCAAACCAATCACTTGAACTTTAATCAATATTCTACCGCCACTGAAGAAGTCTGATCGGATTTGTTAATTCAACAAGAGCTACAGTGAAAGAAAAGATAAATACATTACCAATACGTCAGTTCTTGAATATGTCAAGTCCTTGCTTTGTATGGGTCAAGATCGTAACAGTGAGCTCAATAATAACTGATTGAAAAAGATTATGAACAAGACAAAGTTAAAGGCAAAGTATCAAATAAAGATCTTGCTAAGCCAATAAATCGTCTCTCGGCTTATCAAGTTTGCCTTTAATACGGTAAAATCAGAAATAATAGGATTTTGAACGTATTCCATAGCCTTCGAACCAATATTGCACAGTGTTCCTTGCTGGACTTTTTACTGGCTCAACTGGTAATACAATCTGATTAATTGTTGCGCTTAGACTAATTTTTTTATCCGGAAGGGGTTTCAACTTTATTACCAAAACCTATATTAATGGCATTCAGTCGTATTCCCTATCTAATCCCATTGTGATTCGAGTTGCATGTTTTTGTTAAGACAGAAAGAAGTAATTACATGAAGCTGATTATTTATATCTCACATGAGAAACTCCGAAAGGAGGAATTCACCGATAGTGATAGATCACCGCGACCGCCCAATCCTTTTCCTCATAAAAAAACGCCTTATTTTTTATGGTGATTAATGTTTCTATTGTATGATGTTATGTGATTGCGGTCCGCATTAGAAAATTGAATCTTGCTGATCATGTGATATAATAGCGCGACCAACGGATTATCAGATTATCGAGAATTTCAATAGTCCCTGCCAATAGAGTCATACACTACCAGAATTTTAATCGTGAAAATTTTTGGTTGACTTAGCCAATTGACTCATCAGATACCCAATTGCCTGAATACTTAAATACTAGCACATGTTAAGCTTAAGCTTAATTTATTGTGATCCAGGCAGGTAGTTTCACCAATATGACTCTGACAGCAGGTACAACGTATGTAAGAGAAAGCTTCTCAGTAACATAGATCTAAATGACAAATTCAAAACTTGCATATGCTCTCCCACGTAACTAACAGACGACCGTTGTATTTGTAAGTTGGCAGCGGTTTAATTTTGGACTGCATAACATTACTCTTGTTATTGTTAAAAATTCTTTAGATAGTTTATTAAGAATAACCATAAAGAAATTATATTTAATACGTGGGGGAAAAGGCTTGTTTCCAGGATTGAGAGTTGAACAATATATTGACCAATCAAAGATGATGGTAATTAATTGTTCTGAGAAACAAATAATTTATTTGCCATACTCAAAAAATTGTTGTTTTGAAAAATTGCGACGGAATTAGCCGTGAACAGCAACATTTTTGTTTCATAAAGAATGGGCGGAAGCCAACTTAGACTCATATTTCTTCTCATTTTTAGATCTTGCTTCATTGTGATTTTTTTCTGATTTTCGCGAATCAAGAAAGAGCTGAAGAAAAGGCAAGAACTGTTCAAGTTGACTGACAGTATCCCAAAAGCTAATTATAAGAAGCTCTTCCCAAGGTAGCAAAATTGTGTGCAATGCTTGGGGAGGCAGCCCTGCATGGATGTACTTCGACGAAATAAACAATCGAGTTCAAAAATTATCCTACTTTTCCACGCCTGTTATACTAGAAGCACAACTGTAAAACACATAATCACGATACTATAATTTTTAAAAAAATTGCCGTGAACACTTGCATTTTTTTCTTCTTGTATGGTCGAATAATGCGCATCTAACGTTTAGTATCTGCACTTGAGAATTATGTCCCAAACTGTAACGTGGCGTGGCGTGGTATTGTTTTGGATTGGGAACATTACTTATATAAATAAATTTATACACCAAATTATTAACGCGTTATACTCAATAATTAATTATCTTAATTCGCTACTCAGATAATCGCAGGACAAGAAGCGATTATCCTTTTCCGATATAGGGATTAGTGATTCTATCTATATCGAATAATTCAGGGAAATACGTAAATAGTTTATGATCAGAGTAAAATGCGATACTCGTTTATTGATAAGATAATAAAGGAATCGGAATATAATATAATATTAAACTTTTGAGACACTTAAAAACACACCGAAACTGCTGACTCCTATATCTTTCGAACTACTAATTGTCCTATTTTTAGCAGCGTATTTCTAAGCTACAATTATTAGCTTGTTGCATTTGCCACTAAGCAATCGCCTTTGTGATTAGTACGTTGCAATTGAAACAGCGTTACGCGTTGCAAATTCAACGCAGTTGTTTATTGCAATCTCCACATTTCGTACTAGGATCAGGCTGTGCCACACATGCCGATCGAATAGGTCAACAAGGGCTTTTATGCAAATGAATATATGGTAAGCAAATAGACAGGTGTGACTAGCACTTTTGGCGTTTAGGATTGTACCGACTAGCGACATAAACGTCGTCGTCAAACAGATCCAGGCAACATATCTGTAATTTTGCTCACGAGTGCTTTTTGTTTCAATTAGAAAGTCAATGCCAGTATTGTACTGCATAAAGCTTTTTAATCAGCCGAAACTAACTCGCTCCGACGCGGTTCGTTATCAGAATGGATCGGTATAGCAAGAAACTTTGAGCGTCATGATGTCGGTAGCCTTGCCAAAGCGTCTTGGACGCAGTACGAGAGGAACAATGTCGGTAGGTTGGTCGAGAAACTCGGCAATCAAGAGCGTCTTGTCAATAAACGCATGGTTATCATCCACGATTTGTTCAAAGATACTGTGCCCGATAAAAAGACCCTTGCCCATATGAAGCATTACGCCGTCTGGTATTGGAAAAATAAATTTAACATTTGTCTCTGAATATAAAACAGGGAATGCACGCATACCTCTATGCGGCGCCGTTTGCTGTCTTTTTCGAGCTGGCAACGCTTCTGGAAACGGAAATATTTTGAAAGTCAGTGATAATGTGTTCTATCAAAAATCTAGATACCAGCTGAAAATTCTTACCTTCACCTTCTAGTTTTCTTTTTACTAACATAGTAAGAGAGAGCATTAGTATAAATAGAAAGAATTGCTACATTACTATGCTATTCTATCCTATGTACACACTACTCACGCCCCGAGTCACAAAGTCGTTACCTGTTTGAGATCTACTTGTCATCTCACGGAACAACCTTCTCACTTCCTCACTCCACTTCGTAAGCTCCGCCTCCAGCTGCTTCTCCTTCTCTTTTAGCCTCGTCTTTTCCCGCTCCTCCATTTCTGCAAGTGCTGTAAACGAGTCGTGTGAAAGAGTTAAATAATATACGAACACTCTCTTTCTCGACACTTAATGAATCAAAAAAATTGTTGAAAAAATCTGTATCAAGTGTCTACCAAAATATTTGCATAAATAATTTTGTTTTGTTTTGTTTTTTTTTTTTTGCAAAAAACAAAAGGTGCTTGAAAGGGTGATTATATTGTACCTCAGTTCGGGATCATCTCAGTCCAGAACCCAGTCATCTGTCCAGAACTGAGACAGGTTCTAAACTGAGGTACAACATTTATAAGAAGAGATAAAATGTTCATAATGGCCATCTGTTGTATATCTATTACTAAATAAAGAATTTAAATTTAAAATGACAAAACCAAATCTGCAATATTTAAAAATGATGGTCCAGCTAATGTTTGTCGCTAGATTAATAATGTGTAAATGTTTGAAGTAAAGAATTGGGTTTACTAATAAAGATGGAGATTGTTGCTAAAATAAGAGAATATTTTAAGTTAGTAGACTTGAACTATAAAGGTGCAAAAAATTTGTCAAGCTTAATATTAACAGTTTAGAAGTGCGTTTTGAGATGCACCGCTGCTTTTGTACAAACTTTTACTAGCCAATAATATACTTAAATTACTATACTCTTTTTGTATTGATTAAGGTTACTCATATGTAAACCTTCTCAACTTTTTACAAACGAAGGCCTTTATCAACAAAATTGTTCACATTACTAAAAATTGATGGTTTAATGTTTATGCTTCCTAATTTTGCAAAGACAATTTTTGATATTATAATATAGCTATGGAACAGACAGTTGTCAAGCTTGCATTAGAATTAAAGACAATCACGCAGTGGCATTTACTACCAAATCACGAAATAAACAAAAAGTAAGAGTCTACCAATACGCAGGAGTAAGAATAAAATATTTATTGTTGCTGAGAACATAATGAGTAGACAAAATGTATAATTAAAATAAAAACCAAGATTTGCATCAATGCGGTATCAACATTCTTAAAATAACTTGGTCATTGGCTGGCTATGCAGTATTTCAAGAAAATTGGTAACTTAAAATTTATAACTATACTGTCTATCGATTGCTTAAGCGTCAATTCGATAGTTTTACACATATAACTACGTCTTGCTACACGAATATGCAAACATCACATATACAATTATCAATCCCATCCGCATCCAAAAAAAAAAAAAGGCAAAGAATAATAATAGTCGTTATATCAAAGCAGATCAGGCTTCTGCTCATTAAGTTAATCCGTTGTGTTACTTATGGTTCAAACCTAATTTATTTATGGATAGTTTGCAGATCGTTTTAGTATAATAAAAAAAACCCATTGTTACTATCGGAATAACAATTTTTCGTAACTTATTTTATCACGGAAAAAGTGTTTCTTTAATATGATTCATCCAATATGTAGTAGGCTGGCGTCATGATAATTGCAAGCAGTATTAAATATAAAATAGTTCGTATTGTCATAAGACAATAATTAGCGCTTGTTAATATTGTTATCAAACCAAATTTGCTCGCAAGAGTTGTTATATTGTCTGCAACTGAACAGTTTGAGATGCGCCAGCTATTTATAAATAATAACAATATAAGAATTTAATGCTAGTTTACAGTAGCAGCGCTCGTTAACATAGACATTTAGCATTTAATTCACGTATAGTCTTAATTATATTGACTCTACAGTCTGTTTGCGCTCGGCGACATCGACTTGAATACAAAAGATGTCTTTTTTCTGCCATAAACATAACACAGCGATAACGGTTCTAGTTCATCTGGAAACAGTCCTGCCATATAGAGCAATGTATTATAAACATAGGAGTTGTTGGCAGCCGAATTGTTTTTTACAATCTAGTATAACATATCACATTCTACGGTTCTCTCAACCCTGTTAAGTGGGTGCTAAACACGTACGCCATTGAAGAGTCAGATGCAACGTGATGTTACTTTACTTTTATTGATGTCAATTTCAATAAGCTAGATCTCCATTAACTCATAAATGTGGCCATAAATACTTATTAAGTTTAATCCGACGATACAGTTACTTTCACAAATATATTTTATAATATCGGGTACTGTCAATTTTGTAACTCTATTTACGCATATGCTTCTTTCCTTTACATCAACCTCCTTGCTTCAACTCAAATATGGAAATACAATGAGATAAAATTGTATTCATGTTTGCCGTCAATCAAGAAAACAAAGCAAAAGTGAGATAAGCAGATTACTCAATGTCCAGAACACCAATCATACTGAACGGTCTGATGAGCCCCTATAAGCTAATGAAAATGTCAATGAATGAATGAGTTGCTTTATTACATCTTAACGATGCGGAATTTCGCTTTTACTTACCATTAAAAATATCTTACAAAGAAATTCCTTATTGTGTTCTTATATTACAAGTCGTCTCACATACTGTCTTTCCATCCTAGTAGTTTTGTATTATTTATCCACTGCATCAAGAGGATTCTCACAATTGCTCGTCATTTTTACCAAGTTTTTTAATTCATCAATATGATTGCTCAGAAAGACTGACGCACTGTCAGTTTTCCTATATTTAACAAGTAAATTCGAGAATGATGAGCTATAGGTTGCTTCACTCTACATAAGAAAGATATTCGTTACCGACGTGTACGTGCGTCTTAGACGTTAAAGAATCAGAGTGTAGGCATTGGATTGTTGGCTTACCTCTGTGAGATTAGCAATTTGTTGCATTGTCTTGGTCAAAACATCGACCAACGCTTCGATTTTCCCAATTCTCAACGACAACATCTTCATTGACCGCCTTGTCGTTCGACATTTAGAGCATATTCTGCGTTGTCTGTAATCTTTTGATCGCATGTCTGTGTACAGTTGTGACGACAACGTAGTGGACGTTGATCGCACATGAGGTTTCGTCATTCCCAAGTCGATTAACAATAGATGGGGAGTACGATTTATTAAAGTTACTGGAGCTTTGATGCAACCGAATAATTCTTATACGCTTTAAGTTGCTGCACTACTGATTTATTTCGAGTATCTATGAATTCGAGCTATGCAATTTCTCTCTTTTTGATGTACGGAGTTTTAAACAGAATTTTCGTCGTCCGCTCTCTGTTTCAATTTAAATACAAATATGTGAATTAAAAATTTTCAAAGCGTTCCCGCCTGCAAATAAGCTTCCGGCAACTCTTTATGTTGTTCTACAAACCATTTTGCATTTGTTTTTCCGGTATGAGATCAACGATTCCCAATGTACCGTGGCTCATTCTCGCAGATGGCCGAATAATAAGCATCGCAGTTAATTGTCAATGGAAACAACGCAATCTACATAAATAGTGGCAATAATAAGAGCCACAGAATAATATTATCGCCATTGTCTTGTATTGATAGAGACACATATTATTTCCTTCTACTGTTTTGTGTACGATTGACAAGAAATTTCAGCCACTTTGTTGCTTTTATTTGTGAATCAATGGTTGTTGTAAGCGTAAAGGGCCGACTTAACCATATCGGGCAGATAAAGCATCAAGAGCGGCGAACATCCCCGACCCGACAACTAAGATGTATCTTCATTATCATTACCATATATGATTTCTGTTCTCCATTTCCGACATATCGTGTAACAACTGAAGTGATACTGTAATATTATATAATGACAAAGGCATTATGAAATCACAATGAAATACGATCCCAAAGAATGAAAATGCTGGTTAGTGCACGAGAACAGAATCCTATCACAAATCGTAGACAGTATCGGGAAGTATCAACAGACTAATACAAAAAGAGCAAAGAAGTAGCTGGTGGTGCGTGCGCCTTATAAGCGATATCTATTTCCACTCATTTCATGTAACTTTTCTAATAATAACCACTTTACTATGTTAAACTTTTATGCATTTCAACAAAAAAGGCAACCAATTCGCACACACAACGCAGAAAGTACAATCGACATACAGTATTAGTATATTGGTTACTATATTCGGTTTATGCCCCTAATATCCATAGTTTACTATTCAGTAACTCTTAAACTTGACGTCAGTTGTGCAGACCTTAGTAGTTATATATGGAAACATTGCAACAAAAGCCCTAAGTTATCAAACACGAAAATAAAGTGTCTTGTTATTATGATCAACTATATCTTGCAGGTGTAATCGCCGAGGGGCATCCTAATTGCTGATACAGGAGGAGACAGTTATCGTCGGCTTTAATATGCAAGAATGGCATTATCATGCGGACATCCTCAAGGACAATTACTCAATTAGATCTTGTCAATTATGTTGATAACATTATCAAACCCAATTTTCGTACAGATCAATGTCAAAGGCTAGGAATTTCTTAAATTTATAATACGTCCTCTCGTATATATACTAGAATCAAAGACACATCGATCAGAGTTTAGCTGTTTGTGATTTTATTTACTTGTCCCCTTACCATATTGCGCTCTCGGGCCTTGGCTGCAAATCGGACGTAATTTACAATAGGTTTACTGCACTGCTGTGTTTCTAATGAAGTAACATGTTATCATTGGTAGCTTTATAGAAAAAAGGAAATTATTTTGAATCCTATGTTGATTGTTTCTACACAGTAAAATGGTCGGAGACATGCCGTTAAAAAGGGGGGCATCTTTTATTTTTGATTATTTTAAAATTGTCAAACAAAATCATGTTGTGCTGCTACAATGAATTCCGAGTATATAGCTCTAATGCACCATAACTCGGATATCGGAAAAATAAGTTATAAATCATCATCGTTTTTTTTTCTTCCTTCTTGTGTAAAGTTTCAATAAGCATTCCTAAAAAGGTTGGCATGAGACACAACATTTTGGCGATCGAATCAAAGTTCGATTTCTGTATTCTATTGCATGTGTTTATATATATAACCGATGTTCTTCATTTATTATTATGTACTTGCAACATGTTTTTTTCCTAACTCCAGTATCTTTAGACGCAGTGGTACAACAAAGGTCTAATACTAATGATAAAAATAGGGGCTCTTAAAAGAAAAAAAGAAAAGAGGATTGCATAAGGTTTTGACTTTAGATGTGCGTTGCGAGTGGATGATAAATATATAAGGATATATAGCACAATTAAAAGAATTCGAAGATCCTTACAGCACTTCTTTAGTACGCATCATTAATTGGATATTCTACAACATGCTGACCCAAGCCCAACCATTTTTCCGTATACACGACATTTTGAATTACTGATTATCGCTAGTCTGAATTATCAATGTTTACAACCAAATAACACATGTTCTTCTAATACAGTTTGTTAGTGCCAAGTTATATGCGCCCAAACGTTATGGTTATCCACCAATCAAAAATTTGGGGAATATTTACTAATTAAAAAAGAGTAGGGCAAATGGGAAGAGCTATTCTATTTTTAGCATTCAGATCCGCTTATGGTAATACAAATAAAGCTGTCAAACAATCTGACTATTTAGTATCTTCTAACGCTCTAAGACTGTATAATGCATATGCTGCCAAGAAGGTTTGTTTTGTAATGCCCATACTTGATTGGAACGTTCTTCTTATCGTCCTTTTAAAAGGAATGGTTCAAGTTGTGTAACCGTGCAAGTCAAATTCTTAGATACTACGAATATTTCAAATCTATTTCAAATACTATTATAAATGTCTTTGTTATTGGTATTTTTAACCTTCCAAGATTGATTGTGAGAAGAAAAAAAGAATAATACCTGCAAATATAACCACTGTGGATACGTACGACGGTTGTCATTATGCTTTCTGTGGTGATATGAAACGTTGTATTTAGATAGTTTGTAATAAGAAACATTGAATGAAAGAAGACCCAAGACGTTTGAAGCTCTGTTTGTTTCGTTCTATAATTAACATTAATATTAAGTAAACATAAATACAGTTACAGATTTGATTCTCCATTTTGGAAATCATACCCGCTCACCTCACATGAGGTAAATTTGCATATAAACAAGGGGTAAAAAGGAAAAAAAAATCATTTTTCGAACCGACAAACTAATTGACATTAACCGACTTATTGATCAAACCAATTAAAGCTTACAAAATAAACCATTGTTGACTACCCGTCTTTACAAACATTTAATCATACGCTTTCCATAGTACAAGATATCAATGAATTCTTCAAAGACAATAACGGGAATATATTGTAACGCAAAACCAAAGAAGATCAGAAGAAAGCAATGGAGAAAGAAAGAACAGCAGATGCAGTCGCGCGGACGTTGGTTATTTTCTAGCTATTATATTAGACTAGGATAAAATTGATCGGATGGTAAGCTTTTTGATGAAGCGTATATGGACTATATTGTAGTGTGACAACGATACTATATATTAACCAAGATTATAGAATATTCGCAGAGTGAGGAAAAGACTGGAATCACCAGCATCCCTTTCCTGAAACTCCATCTCCACAACTTAGGGAAGAGTTAGAAAATCTGACCCTATTTAGTAATCGGGGGTGAAGTAGTGTTGACGAGAACGCTATCGCTTGAAATGACAAGAAGATTCTTTGATTTCAAACAGTTTATTCCGAAACACTGTAAATGTAGATACAATTCTTTTAATTCTTTTCCCATTACCATTATGCAATGTTGATAGAATACTTAATATTCGATTGTCGGTTGTGTAAGCGGTTTTACAATACTTAATATTCGATTGTCAGTTGTGTAAGCCTTTTTTACAATACTTAATATTCGCTTGTCATATGAACATTGTACCCTGGTTTCACACTAGTATCTTTTTCCCCTTTCTCTTTTCATCTACACATTTGTAAATTGCCTTCCAATAAACATAATGTCATTATAGATTCCTTTGCGTAAGATCCCGTCGTTTGTTAGAGTTGTACCAATTGACGTATTACATGTGTAAAAACCGTCCTGCATGGATAAAAATAAACCAGATTATTGATATCAGATGATGGAATACACAAATTTGAGAAACCATATTTACAGGGTTTATTTGTGAATCAAAATGGTGAATCTTTCGAATGTAACAAAGATGTTGTGATATCGTCCATCTCACGAGTCATATGCATCAAGCAGATGCCTGTATTGTTTGTTATGCATTCTGTAGGTTATGCATTGAATCGCCCTTTTCCTTCATTGGATCAGCTGCTTATTAATTATAGCGATGACACTGCTTCACTTATTAATTATAGCAATGACACTGCTTCACTTATTAATTATAGCAATGACACTGCTTCAATGATGTTCATTTTTTTTTTAATTTGCATGGAATATTCCAGTTCAAAAATAGAGATAGCAAGTGGTATCACTCCCACTATCGCGGCGCGGACAATGGATTTAAACACAATGTCAGTTTGGGTAATGTGAGTGGATAATGCAATATGTAAGGCGGTCAAGTGATAATACACATACATAGATCATGTTATTAATACGTCCAAATTGATAAAATATAGTTATAAAAATAGAATTACTTGCATATATTTAGAAACAAATAAATTTTTTACCATCTGCCAATTGTCATTGAGGCTAAAAAGTGTTTGTTGGCGAACAAAGACTGACACAATCAGATAAGATTGTGATACTCATTCATTGCAAACTTATTAACCCCATATCGGTGCAATCATGATGAATGGGATTGAACTAATATAACTATAGTAATGGCTGTTGGTGGGGGTGGTTTTATTTTCTATTTGATTACGTTATCTATTGTTTACACTAATTTGGCAATCTCTAATAGACAATCACTCACTGTAAGCAAATTTTGACAATGTAAGCTTATCGTTATGGCAGCTTGTAACGCAAAATTTTATTATATTGTCATTTATGATATTGTCATTGTATGCCCAAATATAGTTTTCCGTACTACTTCTGGAGAGTTAGCTCCGGATGAGATTGATAAAAAATTCGAGTCAACATGAGCGGAGGGCAAGTCCGTATGAGTTGCTAAATATGTATTTATATTTGCGTTGTGTTACTCAAATAAGTAAATTTTTTGCTGCCACGTAATACCACAGGGTATATCTGTACAACAAACAGAAAACAAGATATGTCTTAAAGTTAAAATTTTAAAATAGATACAACTGGGATAGAGAGCGCCGTGAGAAACAAGTCGCTCGCTGTCACATGCCCTTATGATGTGATTATCCATCGCTCGCATGATTGGCCATAGCCCAGATTTTTTTTCGACTGGGGTTTAAGGAATGGGCTTAATCGGAGCGAGTCATAATTCAAACTCCGCGCCCTGCTTTTTTGACAATGATATCACCTTACAATAGCCCAAAAGCATCAATGCATTCATGAATCACAGCTATCAACGTATCTCAGAAAACAATCGTTTTTTCTACGCATATTATTGTCTCTAACCAAAAATATACATTTTATTTTATACCGGATTACATTTACATTTACAATAATTTCCCCTACTAAGACATATGGGCGCCACAAAAAAGAAGAGGAATTACAAGAACAACAAGGGAAAATATTGACAGGGTATAATGTTAGAACAACGAAATAATACATAGGGTCTAGAGAATTTGTACATACTTGAACAACTATGGTAAACTTGAAAAAGTCACCAAAGCGTTTAACAAAAGCTTAATAAAATTTAGTCATCATGGCTGCTTATAGTTCAGAAGGTTTGAGGAAATACTACATTTAATTCTATCCAGGTACTATATATATATGTAAAGAAAAAGAAACTCGTAAATTTGAAAACGTTACTGTTGTCAAACTGGGTGGTGCGAACACCAATCCATATATATTGGCTAAACTCTTTTAGCCAGCAGTGCTCTTGCGCGACGTTTCTTCCACGAAATTTGATTCACTTGTTGTATTACTTGAACATGCAGAGGTTTTCGGGTTATCACCATTAGTGTCACAAAGCTTCGAGTCTTCTTTCTGCGTGTCTTCTGTATCGCTTCCAACAAAACACCCGGAATCATGACGATACTGTTCGTTCCGACTTTTGTTCAGAGGCAACGGACCTGGATCGTAACCAATATCTAAATCGGCGGGCTCGGCTGTGATAACATCGCTAATACATATTCTGACTCTTTTTTGAATCTTTTCTTCACCGGCGCAATCACCATCTTCCTCTCGACAACGTTTTCCTTCACTCTCCACAGGACTGCTCGGTGACGGGGTAGTCGTCGGACTGGCTTGAGGAGTCGGCAGACCAAGCTTTTGCTCCTCCGGTTCAGATTTGCAAAACGTAGCGTCTGGTGACAGGACCGGTAAGGGAATCGGCTCAGTAGATTGAGCTGTACTTGCCAGCTTATTGGTACCGGCTTGAATCACTTTAGTCGTCAGATCCAATAATTGTCCAAGTTCTTCAAGAGTACACGCCGCAAAGTTATTCTTGTTGACCGTTTTGAATTCGGTTGAGCCCGACTAATGTGACACAAAAAGTTAGATAATAATGTAAAAACATACAACTGAGACTCTTACTTACTGCTAGCTCCTCAATTGTTCCCAGTCTTTTCACAAAAATTTTTAAATAATTTGCTGATTCTTTGCATTTGGTACAGTTTTTTGCAGGCGGCTTTTCACTCGGTTTTTGTTCCCGATTTACGAGCATTGGTTTACTCTTAGCGCGTGAACCAGAATTACGTTGTTGTTTATGACACTGCGATGAAGGGCGCATTTTTTTTTGTTGTTGTAAGTTGATATTTTTTCCGTGAGACGTGGGGTAGGTAGCAAGTCTTGTCCAAGGTATATTTATATATATCTCGACAATGTCACACAACCGGTGCCAGCTCTCCGTCGAATCTTGTTACTATTACTGTGTTTGTACTTGCCAAAATATTTTCAATTTCTCATAGGCAGTCCTATGGACGTTCAAATTTGTTACATTAGCAGAGTGATTATAAATAGTCAGACAAAGATACAAGTCATACGAGGTTAACAATACTGCAGTTGCAGATAAGTGAACAATGTTCTATAATACTGCGCACTAATAATTGACAATGTCAACGAGACACTTGGGATAATGCAAGTCTCCATATTCAAACATGGCAGTAATAATGATTACAAATCCGATTTACGTTTATTGACAAACTATTGTTTCTTAACCATATTGTACTCTGTTGATCGTATTTTAGAACATGCTTTATACCGTACCTCTTTCCTCAAATAAAATCCCACTATTGAATACGTAGAGCATACGTTTAAAAAGACGACTAGTCTCGTCAAGAAACAACAAAGGCACACGCGATTTTGGATAAGAGCATCAGTATCCATTCCAGCAATGGACGATATGGTCAACACACGCTGTACGTATGCAAAAAACTGATTTTGTTGCTGATATGGTATTTCGTCGGTACCTGGGTCGCCTAGCCTTAAAAAACAGTTTAATAAACGTTTATTAGTCAATCCGAAGTAAGATAAAGCATATCATACACCATCAACAACCAATTATCTTCATAGACATGGTTTTCAGAAAAAGAAAAGATGTTAATTTCTTGAATTATTAGCACTATGTACCATTGTTAAAAAAAAAGATTAGTGAAAGAGAATCAATAGATATATAGAAGCTTAACGAGATTTTGCAAACACTGATGGATATTTGCAGGAGGGAATAATTAAGAGCCCGCAAACTCAATGAGGAATAAGGCGTTTGTTACTTGTTGGATTGTGGATAGCCAGCCTTTGTCCGAACAATTTGGTAGTTACGATCGGTACATTTCATTTTTTCGCCAACTAAAACTTCACCCTTGAAATATTTGCAACAAACTACGCAGTGAAATTCACTTTAACAAAATCCCTTCATAACGAAGCTCTTTCTGGCACGAATTTACCTCGTATAAAAAGACAGCAAACTTTCATGTTATGTTAACTGTGCGAATGAATGTCTTTGTTAAAGTGAATTTCATTGTGTGTATAGTTATTCCTCCCTTATCATGCTCTCTTGTGTGTGTGCGCATCCTAGTGCATCCATCAATTATATATATTTTTGCTGAGAATACGCAACCAATAGGTAATAACACATATAGGTGCTAAATTTGATGTTTGTTCAACAATGATAATCGTATAAGGTTTTTAATAAAGTATATCAACACTGTAGAATCATATGTGATGCAGTCGAAATAATTTCATTCGCCAAACGTATCGCGTAAGCTATGTTCACATGGCACTACAGTTAAGCCATATTATTGTATACTCCAAAGTAGCTAATCTTCAGCGCGATATTTACGTTTTGAGCTCTATTTCACTAATCTCTCCTTTCTATACAAGGTGCTTTACACTGTATTTAGCCATTGAACAATGCAGGGGTTGCGTTCAAACATTCTATGACGGATTTCCATGAAATACGTAAACATAAACAATAAAATATACCTTAATTGGGCGCAGAATGTCAACACAACCCGTAATTTTGAGTAGACGCAGTAAACCATTCGTATCTAAATGTATAAAAACCAACATCACTTGACCTTGTTTTCGGTATTCACATTTTCACACACATCACTTCTTTGTATACCATTAATGCTGTCGTATTCGGTGCTTTCCATTCCTCGATCCGAGCTTTGTTTGGCGAGTTGTGTATTGATATCAAAATTCCTTATCGGGTATTGTTCCACCATTGGCATGTTGTCCTACATTGTATAAGGCGGAAGCGGGCGGCGGGCGGAAGTCGGCAGCGGAGCAGTATAAGCCAACTACCAATTATTTATTAATAAGAGTGAGTATGAACATAAACGATAGAGCATGTGAGAGTGTGGGAATATGTGGCAAACGACTTTGTCTTATCATTCTTGGCAAGGGTTTCTCATTAAGGATAGCAGGTTGTTTGGATACGGAACATGTATTCCGTGATCGAACCAAGTAATATAATTTTGGTATTTCATACCATTCTTGATAATTGTCTAGAACCCCGACTTTAAAAATCCTATAACTTGTATAAATAACTATTATGCACAGTATATCTTATACTAATATGAAAACAGTATTAACATTGAGGACAATCATCACATATTGTTGCACAAATATCTGGAAGACGTAAAACAACGCACTATTCTCCTTTTTAAAGTAATACACCAATCATTATTTGCCTGCAATAGTTATATTAAATTACAGAGTCCTGGTTTGCAAAAATTTGTGTATTGAATGTAATATACTTTTGCAACATCTGATAGTCCCAATAACAGCGTCTTAATTAAACCGCAGTTTTTTGCTTCTCAGAACTTTTCGAATCATAACAAATGTGAATAAAGTTGACAAAGTCATCTTCCAAAAAAAGTAAAAGTAATATCAATGACTCATCCATCGATGTCAGCTGATCAACTAGTATAAGCGCGTATAATGAGTACGTATATGGTATGTGGGTAAATAAACAACGAACTGTTTGGATACAGATGCAATGTAAATTAAAAACATTGTTCTTATTTCGCATACGTAAAATCAAGTGGACGATCAGCTAACTTGTATGAGTTAACAAGGTACGATTTCAATTAGTCTATGTAACATCCGCCGAAACTTCGTTGGAAGACTATACTCTTTTGATATTGTCTGCAAAGAAGACAATAACTGCTGTCTCCCAATCATCTTCTAACAAACCAACAAGGAACTCAGTAAACTAGTGGCAGGGAGTAATATGTTTTACAGTCACTATGTATGCAATGACTAATCTGAGGCGTTTCGGCTTATCGTTTTTGAATCATTTGTCTAATGTCAAGATAAAAATACCTAGACAACATGCTCCAGCGTTTTGCTCTATTAAGAATCTGTGCGCCAGTATCTATACTGAATACTCTCAATCCTTCGTTTGGTATCAAATATAGCACATACCTATGTAATTAAATACTAGCGTCCCTATGCTTATCATTAACATAGTCTAATGTATTCATCATATCTGACTTTGATACAATAGGTAAGCGCAAGCTCGAATCAATAAGACAAATGTCCTCTAGTCAAATTTGAACGCTTCCTCGCAAGCTTATTCTATCATTGTAGTCGATTTCTCAATAAGTTTTATTCCAGTACACGTTCTATGAAAGAGAAGCAAATTTTAACCTTTTCAAAAATGGGTTATTTACAATGTTTCAAGCAGAAAGGCGCGGAAGCAAAGCTCGGTTGCCTTTGCCCGGTCGTAGCTACAGTTTATAGTGACTAAAGCAAAAAATTATTATTATTATGCAGGCTAATTAGCCTACTACCAACAATAAACTGCTATATTGCCTAGTATATACAAAATGGCTATCGCTATGTGTATTCTAACTTTGGGTCGGTTAATATAGACTCTCGTTAGAGTCTATGTACTATAAAAGTTATAACTGCTCGTATTATTTAATGTCACGGCAGGTATTCATTGTTAGAAAACACCTTGGTTGTAGTTCTAGCTTGTTAAAATGTCACAAAACCGAATAAAATTCTGGCAAATAAAGAGTCTTTCACTTTTCTAACTAAATAGACATGCAACGATAACATAGTACTATTGTTTTTTAAAGGTAAATACTCTTGTCTGCAAACTGCATGACTTTAAGAAATCTATTGCCTGTCCTTGAATGTTCAATGACAAGGACTTATCTATCTGTTATCTGTTAAACTAGAATAGAACATAAGTTAGAAATAGGTTACTGCCTTATAGTTTTATTTAGTTATAATTCATTGTACAACTATGTATCGTTTTTATTATCATATAATTTTTAGCTTGTTTAAATCTTCAGAACAAGATTAATACTTTGTAGTTAGATGAAATGAGCATAATTCCAGAAATATGTTGCCCCTAAATTGATCTACAGATTAAGGGGTAATTTAAGTTTTAAATAAAGTGTTTACAATAACGACAATGGAAAAAATGACCAGATTCGCGTTATTCGAAAAATTTATACAGTGTTGGAATTAAACTAGTAAATAAACTTCGAAGGTTTGGTTGGAGGAATTATTGGACGAAGGACTATTTTTAGCACTATAATCAAGGCCTAATGCTCATACGTAGAAGTTTTGCAAAAAAACACAGTTGAGACTGCCCGAGCTCCAATTTAAAACTGACTCATTTAATTATCTATAACTGCACGGCTTTTGATAACGCGCTTGCATTTAATAGATATAACGTCGCTTTACTGGGTTCTCTTTACTGGAGGTTTTTTGTATCTTTTAAAATCTTTTAGGAACTTGACGTTTTTATCACTTTTGCAGTTATTTGTCCTTAAATAAAAAGAATGAAAATAATACAGCCATTCTCAACAACCTGCCCCACAAAAATGCCATTGCAGAGTGTCCCAACTATTATTGTGCAAAAAACTATTTATAAACAACAGTTATCAACCATTCAATTAATATCAAGCAAGTCAGTCATATAAATTCTCAACGAATTTAATATCAAATCTTTGACTACAAATATACCCATTTTATTCCTTAGAAAATTCTATTAATTATGCATTACCTGGTTATGAATACAATTTTCTATTTACAACATCCAACACGGCTGAAAATCTGAAACAGTCGCATCAATAATTGTGGCTAGCTGACAAACAATTACTTATTATTTTGTTTTCCACTTTAAGATTATCGAAATAAACACTGATATTAAGATAATTATTATTGAATTGAATTGCAATCCACTAAGTCATTGAACAGCATATCTGTTTATATTAAAAACGTCATTTACAACAGATGCGTGTGCTACCAAGACGAAGTAGTACACAAAATAATAGTAAAACGTACATGCGTAATCAGTGGTTTCAATTGTCTCGCTAAAGGGGGGGGGACTATGGCTGGCAAGTTACACGGAAAGGTGGCAATACTAGACTTGCTAATGTAATTACGGGGGCAACACATCTCTAATCGCAGATTGGAATGAGTAAAAAGTCCTTTATTATTACGTTGAAGAATTAGTTCTGTATTCTGATAAATTCCTAAGTTACCCACACATAGCAACGGCGTAAATCAAGAAACTCTTCACTGGTAACACATGCCAGATTTCCCGTTAGCCTTTGTGCTATTTGGATTAGAGAATCAACATTTGCAAGTAGTCGAACTTGTTTCTTTGCTGACGCCCGATTTTATATGGCCTTGTATAAATTTCTACTCTAGTTATTACAAATGAATACTGCTGGTACTGATCGTGGGAGTATGGGTCGAGTTGCTGTCTCATCTAGAAAAAATCAAATCATTCAGATTATCGAGGCGCTTCTATTTATTCATCATCTGATCGATCACACTGCATACCCATTACCTATCATCGCTCCACAAGCAAGCATGCCATTAAATTACGTTGCGATACTCTTCAGGTGTGAGTGACTAGATGGATCGGGTTCGAATATAGGAATTGAAGAGTCCAAAAAAGATGTTCTAAAACAACCTCTCTTGCTCTCGGTTGAATATGAAGGTTATATGTCTTGGTGGGAATTAAAAGCTCCCTTGTGATAACTCACTTTGCGGCGGTTACGTAATAAAGAGATTTCATTATAATAGTTTCGGTGGATCAGTTGGACAGAAACATGCATTATCGAGTCGGGGCATGAATTGTGCGTTCGTCTTGGCTAGAGAATTCGGAGAGGAAACATGCATTATCGAGTCGGGGCATGAATTGTGCGTTCGTTTTGGCTAGAGAATTCGGAGAGGAAACGATAAGAAGACATTAATGAAGATACTTTTGATATTGAACAGAAAGACCAGTTATACCAACATCGTGCAAGTTTCGTCCTCCTCTCAACAAACTTTTGTTGCTAACAGAGGGGAGAGGGCAAACGACAATCCTCGAAACAGCGGGACTTCAAATCGATTTGTGCTGGATCGTTAGGCATTCGTTATAACATATTTTGATTCCCGCATTAATATTACTCATCGTCTAACAGATAACGTTCACGTATTGGTAGAAAGCCTGTTCGTTGTCATTGAAGATATTGAAAGTCAGGGGTTGTTGCTAATACAGCGAAGTATTAAGAATAGTATTCCTATGTCTAATGACAACGTTGCCAAGTACCTTCATAATCGTTGCTTTTCTCAGCATCCTAGGAAGTGATGCATTGCACTCAATGTCCAGAAAGGTGGTGTGAGATTGGATTGCGTTAACCAACGCTTGCCCCACGTGAAGGGCTTTGTCATATTTTTATATTTGTTGGGGACGAGTCGTCTTGCAGAGTTTTCGTCGAAAAATACTTTCATCTGATAGTGTGACTTGTCAGCAAGTCTTTAAGGAATGATTTGTACGACCATTTTGTCAATTTGATCATGTGACTAATAATATTAGCTCGCGTTTCTTACAGTCAATTGTCTAATGCAGAGAAAGCTAAGCCAATTGTAAATGTAGCTTGGAACCATAATGTTGATGCTGACAGTGTTGCAAAAGTAGCAGGTCTTGCTCTTTTTTTTTACACAGAAGCGAAAGATTATGATAACTGCATCTATTAACGTGGAATGTTCTGTAGCGTATATTAACATTGGCTTACTTAATTTAGCTTTAGCATTAGCAGTTCTTACAGACGTGAATAGATATAGCCAGCCTTCGAACGTATACCAGTAAAGTTAAACTTATCAGAAAAAGACGTGTTGGTTTAATAACGCAAATACGCACGTAATTGTTTACTAGAATTAGTGAGTAGAGAAAGGTAGTAAATATGATTAGTATTGAAAAAACTTGCAAGGTAATTAAAAAAATCTTGAAGTACACGTGCAGACAATTTGGTTTAGACAACATTAGAATGTGTCGTTCGTCTCTGAGCGTTATTGTTATTCGCAAACAAAAACAGACGGTCTGTAGAAGTACCGATAACAAAATACTCTTAAGCCGCTTATGAGATTGAACGATTAAACAAAATTTCTATGAGCTTTAATTTCTGACGCCAAATTCGAGGTTCCCGACTTTAAATAACGTTATTGGTTTCTCCCAACTTAAGAATTTTAGTTTATCTAAGTATTGTCATAAGTTTGGAGTTTTTCCCAATCAAACCTAAGTTAGCATCTGTTGTGCTAAGAAATACACTTCAAAATTAGCTGAAAATTTGAGTGAGATAAAAGGTCAATCAAGCACCACTTTCTCATGGCATCAGTAACTAAATACAATAAATTTTTAACGAATATTGCATCATAGATCTGTCACCATTAAAATCGTAAGTTTATGCGCTGTAAGCTGAAGACAAGAATAATAAATTCAAAATTCTCAACATACTTTCTGCACTAAAATAGTTTTATTGACCGTTTAAACTTGATAGGTAAATATACAACTGTTATTTTCCTCGCAATATTATTCTTAGATTAGTATTATTTGCAAACTTAGACTTTTCCAGACAAAGCTCCTACGTTATTTCCATCCATGATGAGATTTGTATATTCTCATAATGTTTGATGGATTGGAATTTCTACAAAATCTATTTATTAGTGAATAGCTTTATTATGACTCTACAATTTTTTTAGTTAAAAAAAATTCTTTCAAAGGCATTGCAAAATAAAAAGCAACTCTAATGAAAAAAAAATACTCTATAATTTCTATTAATAATAAGCCTGCCATACTTTTGCTCAATACTGAAATCGTTTAAGAATTATTACTATGCTACTATTATTATTGTGGAATGAAAAGATAAAGAGCAACAACGGTTGTTCAACAGTTCGTGCTCTTTTAACACTAGAATTTTGCCGAATATTATACAAAATACACCTAATTGCTACGATGTCTAAAATATATTACTGCTGTTTAACAGGAGCAACACAAACAATCAGTTAAGAAGGGTATTAAATATATTAATATTATTCTTGCAAAAGATTTGATACGGAAAATATTAGGTTGTGAGAATATTATTATTTGTTGCACAAGTATTAGTAGAAGACCCATCGCGAACATTCAATATGTTTCTTCAGTACAGCGTATGGAAAAATAAGTATTCGATTAATACGAGAATTCAATTGACTTGTTAGCTACGATATTCCGTTATACACTAACATCAAAGAAATATATTTTACTATTTAGAGAACCCTTATGTATCCTACCAAGACTAAACGCTCCTTATGTAAAATTTTTCACCCTTGCTTTTCAAGCGATTCTGCAAAATGGTCGGGTGCCATACAATATTTATAGAATGTGGCAAAATACATACTGTACATGTACATGCAGTGGGGCTTTACATCAAGCTGCTTATCACGTGTATACATCACGTGATTTTGAAGACAATATATTTATAGACTTTTAAACACCGTTGTAATTAACGAAGTGATAATTATGAACTATTCACAGCAACCCCAAACGTGCACATAACCTCACAAGCGCCGAACCCGATAAACGCCGCTCCATAAAACTATACGGAAGACATTTACTTATCATTTTATTCGCTTTACCACTATGAGCCTATCTGGCAATTACTATTCAAGAGAAGTGTCCAAAAAGAACGGATTCAAGCCTTACGAATAGATAAGTGATTCTTAATCATAACTAACAAGAGATGATAATGATAATAATAACCTGCGAGCCATAACGCATATTTGCTATTCCCCGTACTGTTTCAATATTAGTCGATCTGATTGGTTAAATCTTGGAGTATAACCCCTACTATATAAGTTCATTTTAACAATGTAACCACATCGGTGTTACCGTTATTACCAGGAATAAGATTTTGTGTCATGAAGTACACAAATCTTATTAATATTAAGACTGCCAGATGTCTTCGGGTAATTATTGAGCGAAAGTTCGATTTGCAAAAAACGACTTGACTTTTTTATCATCCCAACTAAACTTATTTACTGAGAACATGAAATACTTGACGATCAAAGTTATCGATAGTGGATACGAAACATGGGGACACAAGTGTCGAATTCTCATATCTGCACATAATAATAAAGCCCCCCTAATACTCAGGGAGATTTGCAGGTCATGAATACGTTCAACAGTCGGTAATTAAGGAGAATGCCGTCTTGTACATGGTTATTATTGTTATATCAAGACAACTTTTAATTTACATGGCTTTGATTTCCCGATTTTGCCAATTGGTAAAATATTAACTATGTTTTTAGCTTATATACTTAATGCTCCCGTATGTCGAGAAGACATTTACAAAGTCGTTATCCAGCGTAGTGTCAAAGAATAATGATCACTATAAAATATGTCAAATAGAGAAGCTTTGTTGGTACACCTTATACTGTATATACGCTTTTACAGCTCATGATATTTGAAAGTATCAGTTGATGACACGTTAATGTCTGTCCAGGGTTTAATAATGTTATATGCCTATTTTTTTTTTACTTTACAATCAATGATCGATTGAAAGTGTGAACTAATGTGACAATGGTTTCGAATATTAATATGGTAGATATATAACATTTTGGTCCTCGCATATTCTAACGATAAGGTTTCCCATTAACTCCGTACTTCTAAGTATCTAACGAAAGTTTTTTTTGGCAAATCTGCCAACTTAGAAAATAACACAAAGCCTTTTTCACAAGAGAACCATGTTGAAAAAAACTTTGCATATATCTAAAATGTAATAACTCGATCGTTTACCATCTAATCGAGCACATGCATAGAAATATCTTTAATGTTATAAACATTTACAAAAGAGCGTACGTTTTATATTTTATTTGTTTTATTTTATTTTATCTATTTTAGCAGAAGATACACGATTTAATTGTTATAGATTATCATGACAGATCTTGTTTACAATATTTGATGATAATGTTACAAAATTCTATCAAGCATGAATAAAAAGCCAGAAGCACAAAAAAGAATAATCCTTGTTCGTTTCCTCACATCGGGAAGTACGACCAGGAATGTTTAGAGTCATTCCCCCTTTTCGATGGATACGATGCAACATCGCACCACCATATTACGCTCAGAAGGGGTGAATGACTACCCACTATTATGAAAATGAAATACATAAGATTGTTATAATTAGTCGTATACGTGATCAAAGATCGAAACGATCAGCCCAAATTTAAGGGCTTTGACACTTCAAACTAAAACTAAAACCACGTGTACTCGATACATTGGACAAGAAAACTATAGATACAGCCAATTTTGGATAAAACTACAAGTTTCTTATTAGGCCTTATTTTTAACAATTGTTCTCTTCTTTTTTGTAGCAAAGTCGAAAAACGCTGCACACTTCCCTACCAAAAATTCCTGTCTATCAAATAGAAGAATTTTTATTTCGAAAGTTGTTATCGTCTGTATTTACTATGCAGGTAACAATTATTTTGGTATAGTGGTTTTACTTTTTTTAGCAATGTAAGAATTGTTAAGCAAGTTAAAAACTAATCTTTGTTTATTTCCTTTGCCCTGAACAATAAAGGCTTCTTTGTCTTCCACTTTTACCTGTTGTCAAGTGAAATTAATGGCTTCACTAACTCTTAAACCTAAAAAGCATGGAAGGCAGAGCCTTTAGATAATTATTGTCTTTGTCAAAGCGATTTCCATAATACCGGTAAACGCATACTCCGAAAATGTATGGTTACATAAGTAGGTGTAACTTATCTACATCGCTATTTCAAAAAGTACAAGAACGCAGTTGAACGACATGAACTTTATTAGTGGGGGTTTGTTTTTACCGTAACGTTTAACGAAAGATGAGGTTTTAGTATCCGGGGGTACTGTATGAGGAGGGGGGTACTATACTAGGGGGGTACATTAGTGAATTAATCGAAAAAGAAAAACTTGTGTACCTTCTGATTAAAAATGTGTTTAGAAATCAGTCTAAGCGATTTATAGCAAAATGATTGATCTTACATAATAATAATAACCGGGTACTTTACCAGAATGGACTAGTATAAGTCCCGAACTAGACGGGGGGGGTACTGGTAGGGGTACTAGAACCGGTGCGATAACAGTCAGTATGTATAACCCCTATTAGCGTGGGAATGTATCATGATCGGCCAATCAGCTTCAAAACTTATTACTTGGCATACAAATTGCGAAATCATGTTTGATTCCGGCAGGGATGTGAAGAGCATTGTTAAAACATGTGTGTTCACTGTGTAGCTTGACCTTAGTGATTTGAAATCTGTATGTTTTGATAGGTCAAAAAAGATACGTCATTAAGACCTTGAATTCGCTAAACTGCTATGTTTTTGCTTATGATGAGAGCACTTGTCTTAGAACAAACATATTGTTGTTATCGTATGTTGTTATTATATAATTATTACGTACGTAGATAAAAGACGCGACGAGAACATTTTATTATCTAAATTCGTGACCTCCATATATTCCTATAGATGCACAATAACAATAACCTCAGGTCGTCAATTTCACACTAGTTGAGAGTCACGGTCGTTAAGTTGGTGGTGATTAATTTCGGCTGCAAAAAATTTGGCATAATCCCTCAATTCTTCTGCAGTCTAAGAATTTATAGTTGTATTAAACACTGTTCTAATAACGCAAAATTGTTTGTCATAAACTTACCATTCGTGCAAGCTCTTTTTTGTCAATGCCATAATTTGCCACAGTTTTACGCTCATACTCAACGACAAGTTCTTGTGCCAACTCATCTACAATATTGACCGACCCTTCTAACATGGAGTAAAGCTGTTCTCCATTGTAGTCTGCACCTTTTACTGCCACTTTTTGTTTTTCCGGATGCTCAACCACCATAATAGGGTTATATCCTGTAAAATCTAACTCTCTAGGAACTGTTCTACGTTTTCGACCGCGAGGCGATTTTGAAGAAGACTTTGAACCTTTGTTGAGTGTTTTGAGACATATTTGACATAAACTCCGACAGATAAAAGTGATTCTTACCATAGTCGCTAATTTTTTCTTCTTAATGTTATCCTTTGCAACAAACCCAGGTAACGATTGTTTCGTTCTGTTTGGTTTCTTATAAGCCACCATGGCACTATTCCCCGCAAAATCTAAATTTACAGAAATCTTTGGCTTACGTCCAAGTTTACGGTGCGTAATCAACGTTGATATAGTTTAAACGATGGACTGCCGAGAGGTATTTCTTATAAACGTTTATGTGTCGTACATAGTTTAGATATCACGAATGCGACTTTTTAATAATCACGAATAATAGATGTATAAATAGTTTATTAAAAGTGGGTTGTTTGATCAGATAGACATTTTTAGTCGAACATATAAGCTCAGGATATGCAAACGTCCCGAGAAAGCACGTATAATTAAGTCAACGATAGTGGTTATTTAGTATAAATACGCCATCCGCGCGGAACTTTCCGAGTCGCAGACAAATTTGTCGATTTATTGCAGTCCAAATATATACTGTGTTAATAACATTTCTAAAAGACCAATTTCTTAATACTTATTGAAATTAGAAAAATTTTATAAAAGTCAAATTGGCATTTTTCGGGATGATTAAATCATTTTATAACTTTACAACAGACATATATCTTAAGCATTACACATGTTTAATTACTTTCGATAACTACTTTGTGAGATGATATATGGAAAAAGGCAAGCTATTTGTTATTCTGACTTTACTATTCTTATTACTATTGAACACTTATTTATGGCTGAGCAAATTACCAAGAATAGACTCGACTTCCTAATTTGCGAACGACCTCTTTGCAAGGTCTCTTTTTCTTCTTTTGATGCAACAATTTAATTCCGCAGTTTTTGAAACTACTTTCTTTTCGCAATTGTATGATTAACGAATTTGTTTTTATAAATAAATAAATATATATATATACAGTATATATATTAGCAATAGGTTCTTGATCTGCAGTTAAACCGTCTTTGCATCATATTCATTGAGAAGGGGGGAGGGGGATGATTGTAAACATTCCTGATCGATGCGAGAAAATGAGCAGGATAAAATTTTTTTGTTCATAAAGTTTTATTATTCGTACACACATGTATTTGATGTAATTGGTAAACGGCAGTTGAACAGATCAATTGATATCTGACGCTAGTCCAAATTATTCCACTTTGTTGGTCATAATCGACGATGATTTGTAAAATGGCAGAATATGCTGTACGTGTTGATAAGAAAGGAGAATAGCTGGCAATTAAAGGCAGAACATGCTGTACGACTATAAAATTGTTGGTGTCTCATTCTTGACACATGACACTTTCTATATGTGACACGAATTTCATTACTATTACTATTACTATTAACGTACAGTATTTGTACAAGGCACCCGTATTGGTGATAATATTTTCATTGTCTCTTGTCTCTTGTAATTATAATGTTCTTCTCTCACGGGTAGTTGTTTTGAGAAGCTTCAGCTCTTTTAGCTAAATGAAAGGAAAAAACCAGTCTCCTATGTGACAAACGGCAAAAGAATGATCAACATTACGTTTATTTAACCACTCATTCACTGTGTGTTCTTTTCTACAAAAACCGTCATGTTTAGCCGTTTGAGAAGGTATCGACAGAGGATTAACGACCTTGGCGCATTCATTAGTGGCACTGTACAGTTTCACGCATCGTCTATAGCCATTCCGGTTATAGTCACTATCTGCTTATAATCACTTCGGAATTGCTGAAATAGCCCATTGCTTTATAAAAAACCAAAATATATTCGAAAGCGCACAGCATTATCTTTCAAGACTAGGAAAGCTCTTTGCTTGATTATCCTAAGTGCACAATGAAAGAATTCAACCATAACCAAAATGCTTGCTGAAACAGAGCGATGGATCAAGACAGACATTTCAGGCAACTCTGGCCAACAGACAAAAGAGAGATAAGACACATTTGTGAAAGTCAATGATGCACTAAGTGAGTGGGTGTCAGTAGCAATTGACTTGCTGCCAAAAATGCTAATGTTAGACAAGTTTTTCCAATAAGTGAGTACGTATCTGAGTGAAGAATGTTTTCAATTTTGAATAAAAAGTATTTTCGAAATAACGGACTTCTGCAATTCTATTGGTCTGTATTTATCACATGATTTATGTCATTGCCTATAATCAACAAAAAACTGGGCCGCCCAAGGGACAGATTTCACTGTAATCGTGCAACCTTGCCAGCATATTGTGTCTGAGTTTGGGACTTATCTCAGTCCAGAACTCAGTTGTCAACTGAGACGAGTCCCCAACTGAGGTACAACACATCTTTATTTCGAAAGTTTTTATCGTCCGTAATAAGTTAAAATACATCATTGATACAACGCTACAAGTCGATGAAGTAGTAGATAGGCATATATATAATCATATATTTTCCTATATACGCAACTTCGTTGACTAAGCTTTATCATTGTTACTTACATAATAAACACGGACGATAACGACTATCGAAATAAAAATTTTTCGTATGTTGATTCCGGAAACTTTCGGTAAGATTTGGTTATAAAAGAAGAGAACAATTATTAACTCGTAGTTTTGTCAAAAATTAGCTGCATTTATAGTTTTATTGTCCAACAGTGCACCACTGATGAATGCGCCAAGGTCGTTAATGGTCTGTCGAGTGCCTCCTCAAACAGTTAGATATGGTATGAAACACAGCATCAGTTTTTCTAGACACAGTGAATAAGTAAGTTCAATAAACCTTTACGGATACTATTAAGAGCTCAAGATCATTCCTTTGCCGTTTTTACGGACGTCACAAGTAGCAGATAATATTTGTAAGTGAAGCAATGAAATTTATTGGGAAAGGTTTGAAACTTGTGCCTACCAAGAACAACCGCCCAAGTGATAGATTTATAAGTAAACTCGCTTTTTCTTATATTTTGTTTCAATTGCCTTATTTTGTGGCTCTCTTTATCTCTTTGATGGGAGGTTGCGATCAACCTTATTGTATGACGGTTCCGATAATTAATTAATATTCACACCTTACATAATATTTTTAAGAGCTCAAGATTATTCCTTTGCCGGTTTTATGGACGTCACAAGTTATCTCTTTGATGGTAGGTTGTTTTTGTGTTTGTTTTTTTCATTTAGATAAGAAACGAGCCGAATCTTTTCAAAAATACTATCAGTGAAGTGAAAGCAAAAACATTATAATTACAGTTGCCAAAATAGCTTTCTTTTCACAAGAGACAATGAAAATATTATTACCAGCACGGGTCAGTCGATGATGCAAACACGTTGCCTGTACGTGGGGTGCTGAAAAGTTTTTCTTTCGTGTAGTCTTCTAACTAGAGATTGCGCCGATCTAACAAAAAATTATCAAATGCCTTCCGCCTCTGAGCTTTTTGACGAGAGTAATATAGACTAATTTTGCAAAAAGATAATGTCAAACTACTTTCTTGTCTCCGGATTAAATTCTATTGAAAACGTGTGGCTTTAATATAAGTTAATCTGCAAAAAATTCTCTCTTGAGTTAGCGGCAAAGTTCGTAAGCAGTATGACACGTAGTGTAGCCGCACTTATAGATGTAAACGGCGACTATACAATGTATTAGACAGCTTTGTTATTTACGTAATTTAAATAGTTTTTACATCTTATGACAGCTACTGTAATGTTAGCATATCGAACATTATTGACTTGATTCGATCGGCCTCGCGTGTTATTGCGTGATTGGCTGTACTATAATCGTGTGACATAATGGATATATACAGTTTAAAGTGTAAGGACAAACATTAAACACCCGTTTAAGCGTTCTGACAGAAGTAATTCCGCTAATCCCACAAGTGCAATTTTTAAACGATCTTCAAAACAGAAATTCCGAATGCACGACTACAGAAAAAACTCGTTGGCCATGTATTATTTGTGGAGCAGAAGGGTTTGCATGTAAGTTTCGAAAGTTCACTGAAGACGCTTACCGGAAAGCCCTACAGCACGGAACCTTGGATTTTACATGGGTATTAAATGTTACTCAGTTCTGTAACAGTCATTACATGAGTTATATTGTGAATGGTATTAATACTGAGAAAAGCGTCAAGACATCTGAGAGCACGGCTTCTTTAAAGAGACTGGAAAAATAATAATATAGAAGGTGAAGTGATAAGAGACCAAATTGATTGTGATGACGAGAGCTGAAAATGAAGCCATCAGAGGTGAGTGACGATGGAGATTAATTTTATTGAATGTGTTAGATCGATGGCGCACATATTTTATGCGAGAGAAAAGAAAGAGACCCACCGATATATGATTGGAAGTTGCTTCGGGTGGATTTGGAGTCAAAAGACATTCGTCCCAAATCATTCCTCAACCTGCTTGAGAAAGTGGTTAATTCGATGATAGAGGATCATACTATCTCACAACGACAGAAAGGTCTCCCATTCTTATGTTATTTTCTCGCAGGGATCGGAAATAAACATATTGGTGCATTGAAAAAAGACATTGCTATGTTTTTGGATTATTCAGGTACCTCTGATCAAGCAATCGATACTTTATCTAACATGCAGTTGAGTTGGGAGAATCAACGTGAGAAAAAATCATATCTTCTATTCATAGAGATAATGTCACAAGAGAGCTTGTAAAGTATCAGGCGGTAATCGCTAATATCGATGATTATCACAACATTCATGGTTTACGCATTCCAACAACTACGTCGACCAGTACGGTTGCTCACATGACTACAGTTCTTGCCATCTCGATATCTACAGCAAGTGCGATTCCAAAGAGTGTCGGGATGCAAACATACATAAACCGCGACTGGTCGACAGTAGTGTTTTGATTACTCAAATAGAAAATCGGTTTATGGCTCTTCTATCTCAATCGTTTAATGATCAGTTTGCAAGAAAACCTGCTTACGCTGAAAATGATTTACTTGATAATCTAACAGTTCATTGTTATGACATAGATATCCATGAAAAACGACACAATCGGGAAAAGGACAAAACGTGACAAAAACAAACTTTCATGCCATCTTGCAACTGTTAATATAGACGTGGATCAACAACATTTGCCAATGCCGTTCAATTCAGAATACCCTCCGTTTGATCCATCAGAAAAATGTCATCTTCGGAATTCTTGTAAAATGTTGCAATCGA